CCCCAAAACCCCAAAACCCCATAGAACCCCAAAACCCCTGATTGGAAATTGCAGTAATTAAGAATTGAAATTTATTAATAAAATTCACTGAACACATATTTAATTATAGTTTCATGGAAAAAAATAGTTCAGATTAAAAAATCAAGCTAACTAAATATTGTATCAAAGGTTTCGACTACGCTGAGAGAAATACTGTTAATTAATACTCTCTTCTAGATAAGATAGGTGAAGGAAGCATATCCAAAATTTTTCTAGCTTTAGTGAACTAAACGTAAAAAAAATACGCAATAAAGAGAATACCTAAGAATCACTTAAAAAACAAGCAGTCAAAGGCATATAAGGAAACATGGAATGAAATTGATATTTTGGAAAAAGCGAATCATCCAAATGTCATTTAAATTTACGAGGTTATTGATCCAAGTGATGATAAAGGGGAGTTTTATTTGATTTTAGAGTACTGTGAAAAAGGTCAGTTGCTTGACTACAATGAAGAAACTAAGCTGTTTGAGCCGAAAACTGATAAAAAGAGGGAATTTTATTCAGAAGATGAGATTAGACAGTACAGTAATTAAATAGCATCAGGTCTAGATTATTTGCATTATGAAGGGATTATTCATTGTGATTTAAAGCCACTAAATATCTTATTAGATGAGAATAATATTGCTAAAATAGCAGACTTTGGTGTTTCATAAAAACCAAAAGACGGAGATTTAATGAGTAATTCCAAAGGCACATTCGAATTTTTATCACCTGAATTGGTTTAGATGACTCCTAAATCTGATAAAATATCTGGGAAAGCAATTGATTTATGGGCTTTTGGCTTAATTATCTATTGTATGACTTTTAATGATTTACCTTTTTCAATTGGACCTGGTGTACTGAATAACATTAAGAAATTTCAACTTGATTTTACAGGTAAACGAAGAATTTCATACGGATTAAAAGCCCTCATTTAAGGTCTCCTGTAAAAAGATCCAAGTAATAGATTCACAATGCAGGATGTATTTAATGATCCATGGTTTAACAATTAGCATAAGGATAAAGATGTAGATTACAGTGCTCTAAATGTAACTCCATAAGATTAGTAATAATCATAAAGACTTTTGCCTCCTATAAATGCTAAAAATGGTTATTCAGAGTAACAGCAAAGAAATAAAGTTTAATCTGAAGTAGATAACTACTTGCATGTAGATATCTTAGAGGACGCTTAAAAGTAAAAGCATCATTCAAAAGAAAATTAGCCGATAGCAAGCTACACTAAATCTAGAAAACAGAGAAAATAAGAAGAGGATGACTTAGATGCCGATCTATTCTCTTGAGATTATCAATAACTTATGTAAATTATGCTTGTGTTTTAATTTTTCTTTATTTTAAGAATTTATTGATTTCATACTTTATGGGGTTTTGGGGTTTTGGGGTTTTGGGG